TGATAGTCGTCTTGGACAATATCGACTGTATTTAATGTAAGGCACCTTGGTGAAATCAGGAGCTTACAAAATAATAAAATGGAAAAAACAGGCATATTTCTGCCAGTTTGGCAGTTTTTATCTAATTTTTGGTTTGTTTGGGTTTGGGTTTTTTTGGCTCAACTCCTTTATGTCCATACCAAAAACACATTACTATGTGAATACAGCTGTAAACATTGATTAAAGGCACAAAATATGTAATTTTTTTCAGTTTTTAGTGACTCACAAACTATTGAAGTTATAGAATTTGGCGCGCAATTTTCTTGCTAATTTTATCACTGAAACCAGGCGACCCCACCTCCTTTAATCGTAAATGTCTCAACTTGTATTCAAGATAGATGGGTAATTCATTGCAATCAAGGCAAATAAATAAACCCTTAGATGATATCAATAACTCCACATGCCCAAAAACTGACGAGCGCCTAATTCCACTACGTCGTGAAACAAATGTCTTTTATCCGTTTTATCCTGGCACGATAAAGATGGTGCTAGCTTTATGATTGCAAGTGTCATTTTGTTTTACCGGTAGTAAGAGTATTACGGCACTTGCACTACAAATACGTCATATAAATTAAGAAGATTAGAGGTGTAACAGGAGAGCAACAAACACAAAGAAAGAATAAGAGGAGAGATAACGACGATAGAAATATGATAGAAAAGAAGGTGCAAATCACACCAGATCGCCCGCCAAAAACCTTCTTACTTGAAGTAACTGTCTCAATTAATAAATCAGCTACAATTAATGTTGTTTGGCGCCCCCATCCGGACAAGCTGATAAATTTTAATCATTTCAGAGACCAGCCTCTTCGACTCTGCCTGTTGAAGCCAACCTGTCCTGAGGGGGATACACCTACATCCTAGGAGACAGGCAGAGTTATATGACTATCTTTTTTGAAAAATAACCACGTTCTTCAATTTGGAATTGCTCTGCGCTGTTCATGTAATTTGCCCTGGGTCTTCCCCTTCTTCAGTTGCCTTCAATTTTAGCAAAGAGAGAAAGCTATTTACGATCTTTAAGTCGAGATTCAAGTATCCTAACAGTGCGTGTGTCTCTTCCTAATTGTGTTTATTAATAAAATGTAACCCTCATTTAGAATTCACTTGACCTAGTATGCACATCTGGGATCTTCACTCGGGTGGGGCGACATTTGGGTCGGAATGACGAACACAAAAGACGCTTTTGATTGATTAAGAATGGTGTATGTGTGTGTGTGTGTATGTGTGTGTGTGTGTGTGTATGTGTGTGTGTGTGTGTGTGTATGTGTGTGTGTGTGTGTGTGTATGTGTGTGTGTGTGTGTGTGTGTGTGTGTGTGTGTGTGTGTGTGTGTGTGTGCGTGCGTGCGTGCGTGCGTGCGGGCCTTCCAATGTAGGCTACGTGCCAGCGTGTGTTGGATGAGACAGAGCTGAAGCCGAAGAGTCTCCGTGGTTGCTAGAAAGTTGTTGTTATCATGAATATTATTATTTTTTACTGTTACTATTATTATTATTATTATCATTATTATTATTACTATTGTCACTTCTTCTTCTTTCTGCTTCTTCTTCTTTTTCTTCTGACTGTCTGTCTGTCTGCAACAAGAGAAAAAAAGAAAGAAAAAAAGAAAGAAAGAAAGAAACGCAGAGATTGACAACAAAGAGGTAAAAAAAAAACCACACATCTTGGTTAGTCTCGGAGGTCCGCGCGTACAAAATATAGGCGCACTCCGCAGGGAAAACGACGCACTATAGTCCCCATTGGACTAAAGAAAAATGTATTTTTAAAATATATTTTTCTTTAGTCCCCATTGGACTAAAGAAAAATGTTTTTTTCAGTGCCAGTAGAAAACCAAACAGTCCTTTTCAGGGCTCCCAAAAAAATAAACAGTCCTTTTCAGGGCTACAAGAAAACTAAACAGCCCTTTTCAGGGCTACAAAAGTCCTTTTCAGGGCTACAAAAGTCCTTTTCAGGGCTACAAAAGTCCTTTTCAGGGCTACTTTAAAAGCTAAACAGTCCTTTTCAGGTCTACAAGAAAACAAAACAGCCCTTTTCAGGGCTACTAAAAACCCAAACAGTCCTTTTCAGGGCTACTATAAAAACTAAACAGTCCTTTTCAGGGCTACTATAAAAGCTAAACAGTCCTTTTCAGGGCTACCAGAAAACTAAACAGCCCTTTTCAGAGCTACTATAAAAGCTAAACAGTCCTTTTCAGGGCTACAAGAAAACTAAACAGCCATTTTCAGGGCTACTTTAAAAGCTAAACAGTCCTTTTCAGGGCTACAAGAAAACAAAACAGCCCTTTTGAGGGCTACTAAAAACCCAAACAGTCCTTTTCAGGGCTACAAGAAAACTAAACAGCCATTTTCAGGGCTACTTTAAAAGCTAAACAGTCCTTTTCAGGGCTACAAGAAAACAAAACAGCCCTTTTCAGGGCTGCTAAAAACCCAAACAGTCCTTTTCAGGGCTACCAGACAACCAAACAGTCCTTTTTCGGGCTACAAGAAAATAGCAGTCCTTTTCAGGGCTACAAAAGAGAGGGGTAAAAAACAAAACCAGTCCTTTTCAGGGCTGCCAAATACCCTCAGTGACTTTGGGGACAAGTTGAAGATACGAAGAAAGATACAGAACTTCACGAACTTAGAAATTCCCCGGGATATCCTGAAAAAAAGGTCACAGCTGAGTGACAAGAAATCCCTGTTGCAAGAACATCAGCAACATTTTTAATGCGGCCACAATGTTCTCTCTATAGAACAATGTGACGGTCCAAAGCCCGTTAAACGCAGATGGAAAATGTTGAAGGCTCTCCCATTTCCTACTCTAAGTCAGGAAAGGTACAAATAAATGATGCTCTGTAAGTTCAACACCAACTTTCAGCTTTCCTGGACATATTTAGGTTTGGAGAGAGTTGAGCCAGACAAACTTACTTTACTATATCCGTCCTTTGGTAGCTCTAAGGCGTCAAGGGGAGAAAGAGCTTTCTGTCTTCAGCAAGTTTGATGGTCTGGCTGGTTGGGATGTTTATTATATCATGTTGGCGAGACAAAGAAACATGAAAATGCTAACACCTGTGATAAAACACAATAGTAAATGTGTTGATAGTAACAACTAGTCATACACAAAACTCATAGATTATAACCAATACCAAAAGTGTGACGACGACCGAAAAAGTTACTTAACAAAATTGGAGGGACAACGAAATGAATATTTGCACGGAATTACGGGATAAATTATATGTAACAAACATCATGTCCCAAGCAAAAGGTTCATTTTGAAATAGGCTGCAGATTTTGAAAGGTTTAGGGGCGTAGATTTTAAAAAATAAGAACTCGAATTCTAACCCCCCCCCCCCCCCCCACGCCCACGAGTAACACACAGTTCCCGAGTGGGGAGAACAACATTTTTATCTAGTATCTCAGAGTTTTTGCTGGGATATTGTATCCCTCTCAGCTCATGTTGGGTCGCAGCCCGCCTCTTAAATGATCTAAAGTGTGTCAACGGAGACGTGAGAACACCTACATTTATTTATATTTGTGGTCCTAGAAAAGTATTCATTGTTCTTATTTATTGTTATTATTATTTTACTATGATGATGATGATGATGATGATGATGATGATGATGAT